TGAGAGTCCCCTGGACTGCAAGGAGAACAAACCTATTTGTTCTGAAGGAAATCAACCCTGAGTGCTCCCTGGAAGGACAGATCCTGAAGCTGAGGCTCCAATACTTTGGCCATCTCATGAAAAGACGCTGATGTTGGGAAAGTGTGAGGGCAAGAAGAGAAGGGGATGACAGAGGATGAGATGGCTGGACAGTGTCATTGAAGCCACCAACATGAATTTGACCCAACTCCGGGAGGCGATGGAAGACAGGAAGGCCTAGCATGCTCTGGTCCATGGGGTCACGAAGGGTTGGACATGACCTTTCTGAACAGGAAGCTAGGCCGAGTTAGGCCAAGCTAATCCTCAAAGTCTTCCAATGCATCCTGACACACTGATTGACTTATTATATTCAGCTACAAGGGATGGGTCCAAGGAAATGGTGGAAGATAGTTGAAGGCAAGAGATTTTGGAGATGGCTCATTCATAGGGTCGCTGTTAAGTCAGAGGTGACTTGATGGCAGATAACAAGAATAACACCAACGATCTCCTCCCAAGCGTCCCATTGCTGCCTCGATGCTAGCTGGGAGCTTCCTTTCTGAACAGGAAGCTAGGCTGAGTTAGGCCGAGCTAATCCTCAAAGTCTTCCAATGCTTCTTGACACACCGATTGACTTATTATATCAGGCTACAAGGGATGGGTCCAAAGAAATGGTGGAAGACGGGCAGCAATATATCTGATTTCATGTACAAAACTCAATATATCTGATCCCAAAACTAATCTCTCGCCAGCTGCTCGGGAGCTTTCCTGGCTGAAAAGAAAAGTAAAAACGCTTCAGATTGGAAAACAAGCAAACACATGATATACCTACATTTCGGAACATTTTTTTGGCAAGTCCTGTCATGGCAACAGAGTAAACCTGACTTGTAGTATCTTCCTTTCCCCAAATAAAGCTGAATTTGGTCATAGGGACAGAATGGGGAACGTTCGCAGCCTTTCTCGAGAAACTGTTCGACTTTTCCTTCTACAAGGAAAGCAAAAACAAAGCAGGGTTAATTTCATGATTTGCCCAAGGCCCTCCATTTTGACTAGAAGGATATGTTTGAATTGACGGTATATTGATTGCCAGTCTGTCTCACTGACCTAAATCCAATTGCTATTCCCAGCTAGAGGAGACTTCTGAATTAATGAGGTTGCCTTGTGAATTGCTAGCAGGTCAGTCAATATGCATATCAAGTTCCATTTATTCTAAGGATTCAAAGCATGAACTCTAAATTAGGATTAGAAATTAGATTTTTCTGGCCCTTACAAATTGGCTGCACAATAGCATGCCAATGGCTACAACACTGACAATACCGGACAGTTGACTCAACACTCAAATAAAAGGAAGGGTACATGCTGTGATGGAGTTGAAGCAGTGTGGGATATGTAGTCAGAGAAATGCAAGATGGAGCCAGATAGGTTCTGTGTGAAGATGATGTGGGAGACACATTGGAATGTGTTTTTCTAAGTGCTATGAGAGTGTTTTTCTGGAGACCGGTACAGCATGGTTAGAGATAAAGTTGAAGGTCAGACAAAGAGGCCTGTGGAAGACCCAACGTTCCGAGCTAATTGGAGAAGAGATAAAACACCTGGATTTTCATGGGAATTGAAGGCGGAGGAAGGTGTTATAGCCCCTTGAGGCTAATTGGTTAACAGACATGAGGTGTCAAGAAGAAGGGAGGAGTTAAAGAATGCAGAAAATGGACGATGGGTTATGTGGGAGAAGTTCGATTCCATGATGATGGGAGAGAAAAAGAACTTGATGGTTTGAGCATGTGGCTTGAAGGAGAAAGAATGTGAATGAAGAGAAAGAAGGAGGTGGGGCTAACTCACCTTAGCCCAGCTTATTTTAATGGGGATTAGTTATTTTATTTAACTGTAATAATCTTTGAGTATGTTCTTTATGTTAAAGCTTGAGCAATATAAACTGATTCTATGAAATTCTATTTTTCTATTAAAAATAATTATAAAAATTCTTACTGAAGGACTGGTCTTTTGAACAGCAGAGTCTGGCACAATCCAGGGAGTGGAGAGGGCTGCAAACTAGCTATCTTTAAGAGTCCTACCGAACTGAGCTGTTGTGAGTTCTAAAGAATCACAAAGCCCATGTCTCTGTAGTTGCAAAGTACTGGGTAAAAGGAAAGTGGTCTTTTAAGGTCAGACTTGTTCAAGGGGCTTACGCTACACATTGCTGGAGTCTTAGGACTTGCCTCAGCACAAAGGTGGTAGGTAAGTGGCCTGCCAAACTCTGTGATCGAGTGCTAAGCGCTCCTTAGGGAGGCCTGGGCACCGCACATGCTATCTCCAAACTTTTGCAAATTTCACTGTCTTTATAATAATATTAAACTTTGAACTGCAGAGCTGGAAGGGACCCTATGGATCATTGGGTCCAGCCCCTCTCAAGGAGGCACACTGGGGAACTGAACTCCCAGTCTCTGGCTCCACAGCCAGATGCCTTAAGCCAGTGGTTCTTAACCTTTGTTACTCGGATGCTTTTGAACTGCAACTCCCAGAAACCCCTGTCAGGACAGCTGGTGGTGAAGGCTTCTGGGAGTTGCAGTCCAAAACTCCTGAGTAACCCAAGTGCCTTAAGCCACTGAGCTATCCAGCAGTTCTTGTGATAAGGGAAATCTTTCCCCAATGTTCCTCTTGAACAATGGTTTCCAACCTTGGGTCCCCAGATGTTTTTGGACTACAACTCCCAGAAATCCTGGGCAGCACAGCTTTTGATGAAGGCTTCTGGGAGCTGCAGTCCAAGAACATCTGGGGACCCAAGGTTGGGAAAGATTGCTCTTGAAATATACTAGGATGAATCTAACTAATGTGTACATACCCTCGGTCTACAACTCAATTTTTTCCAAATTGTCTTTAAATAAGAAACGAAGGAAACTCAGACTTCCTAAATAACCCACTTTTAGATATCTTCCCCCATTTATCCTCCTGAAAAGGCACTGTTTTGATCCAAAATAAGATAAGTAAGACGGAGGCTCATTTGGCTTTGTCTCGCCACCAAGATCTAAAATCCTTTCTAAATGGCTTTGCCTCTCAATTTACAGCATATCCTCTTTCCCATTTACGCTTCTTTTCACTTACCTAGAATTTGCTCAGAAAATTTCACATAGCATTCGTCTTTAGAAGAAGGACATCTTCTTCTGATGGTGTCACACTTCATTGTCTTGCTGTAACATCTATCACACACCAGGGAGGCTCCTGGAAGAGGCAAGTGGAGTGAAAAATGCACACACAAGAAGTAACAATTCATATATGCTTATACAGTGGTGCCTTGCTAGACAGTTACCCCACATGACAGTTTTTTCGCTAGACATTGACTTTTTTGCAATCGCTATAGCGATTTGCAAAACAGTGATTCCTATGGGCGAATTTCGCTGAACAATGTTTGGTCCCTGCTTCGCAAACCAATTTTTGCTAGACGATCATTTTGACAGCTCCCTCCACGCTTGCAAAATGGGTGTTTTCAGGACCTAAGTTTCGCAAGACAGCTATTTAAACAGCTGATCAGCGGTTCGTAAAGCGGCTTTCCAATGGCCGACCTTCACTAGACAATGACAATTCTTCCCCATTGGAACGCATTAAACAGGTTTCAATGCATTCCAATGGGGAAATGCTTTTCGCTAGACAATGATTTCATCTAGCGAGGCACCAATGTATAGGGATGACTGAACTTTGCAAACATTTCTTTTTTCCTCTTTCCCCTCTTAGACTCAACCATTCAGAATCTGCATTCAGCAGAAGATTGTTGATACGAAAAGCTATTGGAGAAAGAAGGGGGTAGAGAACTGACGTATAATAAGCTAGACCTTGGTTCTTCTGTGCCAGTACTGTTAATGTTGAATGGCTATGGCTCACCAGAGTATCAGGAAAGACGGTTTCCTGGCTTTATATAGAAATCTCCTCCACAGATGTTCTTGTACTACATCTCCCAGATATCCTGGCTAGCACATCTAATGGTGAAGTCTTTTGGGAGTTTCAGTCCAAGAACATCTGGGGACCCAAGGATCGGAACCAATATCCTAAAGAGCCCCATCTAATATTTACCCTGCTTATCTTTCAAAGTCACTGTGTTCAGTATGGAAATAGTTCAAGCAACTTTAGAATCAATCAATCCATCCATCAATCCATCAATCAATGCATCTATCTATCTAGCTATCTATCTATCTATCTATCTAGCTATCTATCTATCTATCTATCTAGCTATCTATCTATCTATCTATCTAGCTATCTATCTATCTATCTATCTAGCTATCTATCTATCTATCTATCTAGCTATCTATCTATCTATCTATCTAGCTATCTATCTATCTATCTATCTAGCTATCTATCTATCTATCTATCTATTTATCTATCTATCTATCTAGTGAAGAGCCATTACCCTGGGCAGCTAAAATACATCCATTGCCATCCCCAGTCATAAACCAGGAAATGAAATTTAAACACAACAATAAAAAAGAGACATTGACAGTAAGGGGATGGGGCCACAGCAGAGGTAGATGATGCAAAACTAAAAAAAAAAAATACAAAGGGAAAAGTTGTCATTGAGCTAGTCTGCCTAGACTAACTTTCGAAAGGGTGGTCCTCAGGTGGAATTGTGTTCCACATAGATGGGCCATTAGCAAGAAGGCCTGCTTCCTAGTTGAGACCCACTGAGCCTCCTTTGGTGTAGACAACTGTAGAAGCAAGGTCTGTGAGGAACAGGTGACACAGGTAGTAATTCCATGGGAGAGACGTTCTGACAGGTATCAAAAATCCAACTCAGCAGAGAGCAAAAAAACCTTCCTCCATGTTGTAACAATTGGTATTGCCAGTCATTTGAGCCTAGCTTGGATCTGGCTTCTTTTAGTGAAATGTAGAAAGCTTTCACCAGTCTATCAGTTCCTTACCTTTTGTTAAGAGCACAAGGAAGATCAAAAGTTTCAGAAGAGCCTGCATGATGGTAAGAAAGCCATGGAAACTCTTTCCACAATGAATCAGATGCTTCTATTCAAAGGCTCTGAAAAGACATTCATATGAAAGAAGCAACTTCAAAAAAAAAACTTCCCAGATTGTTCAAATCAATAATCCAGATGACACCCAATGTAATGAGTAATGAGAAGAAAGATACGAACACTTGCAAGAACTCCAAAAGATGGCCTTTTCCTTCCCTTTTATCATCCCCTAGGTTGAAGTCTTCTTGGAAAACCGATTTAATGCAAAATGGCCTCTACGTTTAGAAGATGAAGTGACAGATTCCTGAGACTAAACCCAATAGTTTAGTCAATATTATTGATTTAAGGAGTCCCATTCATTCATAGTCTAGCTGGGACTAAGAACTGGATCTAACCCTCGGAAAGCTCTGGGTTTTAGACACCTGGCTGCAAGGCCAGAATTTGGGATGGCCAATGATGGCCATCGTGAATATAACAGCATCAGAGAGACCACAAACTGCATGTGTAGAAATGCATAGTGTTTATTGCATCACCAGAAATCAAGGAAACACTCTGTTCCTTTCCACTTGACAGGAGGGATGGCCAATGATGGCCATCGTGAATATAGCAGCATCAGAGAGACCACAAACTGCTTGTATAGAAATGTATAGTGTTTATTGTATCACCAGAAATCAAGGAAACAGACATTTATCAGAGTTTAAAGGCTAATACAGCATTGACATCCTTCAGAGTAATTTGTTTAGACTTGTTCTGACTCTCAGGGAGAACTTAACATGGATACAATAGCCTTCTCAGAACTCAAATGAGTGCTAAATAGTAAAAGCAGAGGGACAGATTCATAAACTGGAATCCTATTGCTTGTTCCAGAAAGATTATTCTCCTTGACTAAGGTTGCAACTAGATAGACCAAGAGTTTGGGATCTGCTCCACAATTACTACAGGTAACTTCAAAGTAGTCTTCAATGATCATGTGAGGCAGAGGCCAATGCAAATCAGCTCGCCCCTTTTCGTATCCAATTTGGATTGGATAGCACTGTGGGTTTCTAATTTTTTAAAGCCTGGGTAACTTGAATGGTGTGATCCATTCTTTCATTGAGAGCATGACTCCAAGTGGATTTATGGTGATATTAGGCATCCTTCAGTCTCAAAAGACTATGGTAACGTGCTCTGTATGGAGGACTTGGAACAGCGTCTAGTGTGGCTGAGGAGGCCAATTCGAGAGTGACCATCCCTTCCACACTGAAGACAAAAGCAACCTGTCCCCTGTCCAGCTCCCTGATTTTGCTGCCTTCAGGACTGCCTCTTGGCCTCAGCCTGCTGGACAAGGGTCTCTTCAAATTGGGAGAGGCTGTGATGCAACGCCTGCCTCCAGGCTGAACGCTCAGATGTCAAGGTTTCCCATCTGTTGAGGTCCATTCCTAAGGCCTTCAGATCCTGCTTTCAGATCTCCTTGTATCGCAGCTGTGGTCTCCCTCTGGGGCGATTTCCCTGTACTAATTCTCCATGCAGGAGCTCCCTTGGAATCCGACCATCAGCCATTCTCACGACGTGCCCAAGCCAACATATTCAGCTGGGAAATGATGATCTGGGACATCAGAACACCCACCCCTGTGATCTTTCTCCCTATTCGCCCGCACACGCAACCATTTTAAAAAAATAAACTACTGAGTTTAGCGCTGTATCACCTTATCACTGCATTGATATATCCGTCTAGCGCCAGATCACATCTGCACAGGAAATACAGGTTAAGAAAGAAGAGGAAAGACAGAGAAGTGGTATCAAAGAAGGGGGCCAGGGCTGTGGGCATATATCAAACTGCACAGGATTGAGGGACAGTGCAGAGACTGACACTGAGATGGTCCAGGGCTTTTGTGTGAAACTGAACACAGCTTTAAAGGAGATTACGAATCAGGCTGCAGGAAAGATGACTCACCCTATCTGGCTTGCCAGTGTCATCAAGACCTCAATGGGATTTTATATGCGTGTTGGTTTCCTATCTAGCCACTGATTCAGTGATTCTGGCTGGCCATTTTTTTCCTAAAGAAAGTTCAGGGGAACTTC